AATTCAGCGGGTAATCTCGCCTGCTCTGAGGTCGTCGCATAGTGAGTTTTCGTAGCCGTTTGCCTCCTCCGCGTCGCTCATCGTCGTCTCTCCTCTATAATATATATTAATAAGAGGGAGAGAGAGAGAGAGCGTCGAACGAGAGAGCAGCAGCGGCAGCACACGAAATACGCGAGAAGGCAAATCGCCGGGGCGCTAACCGCACACACACTCGTTGGTGGTAATGGAGACGATATATCGCGGGGTTCGAGATTCTCGGCTCTCCCTTCTCTTTTATATACGAAATTCGGGCGGAATCGATTCGACGAGTACACGACGCGGCGCGCCGGTCCCCTTTTTTCGCTTTACGAAAATTTCGTGGACTCGGACACGCGGTCGGCTCGCGATTCAAAACCCTTCTCCGTAAAGAGGTAAAGGATTACGAATGCTCTCTCCGCCGGACGACGACGCGCCGTATATTTCTCCGTAATACCGTTATGTGTGCGGGCAAGGGCGCCTCGGCATAAGACGCGCGAGCGCTATCGCACCGAGAGACGCGGCACAGAGTGCGAGAGCAGTCCGGTCAGTCTGTGTGATGTACGGAGAGGAGAGACGGTGAGACAAGCGCTACCTACTTTCGGGAGACAACGACGCACGCGCCGCTCTAGGGAAAGCGGTGCCATTCACCGTCCTGACCCTTTTTTTGGCCGTTTGTTGCTCCCTTCGCGCGCGCTCTTACTCTCATCCCATTTCTCCTCGGCTCTCGCGTACACACACGACTTGGATACACAAACACGCTCCCCCTCTTAATTCGCGCAGCATTCTCTGGGCGCGCGTTCGCCAACGTTTTACACGCTTGTGCGCTTCTCCTCCTCATTATTATTATTATTTCGGTGTGTCATTTCAGACGACGCCAGGATTTGCACCGCGGCCGGTCGGCGCGGCACAGACACCTCGGGCGAACGTCCAACGATCGCTCGTACGCCCATTGTAAGCGTTGCACAGGGCACAGGCGACGCGCGCGCCATTCTCTGGTCGCCCGCGTCGTGGCCGTGCGCGCTTTTCGGGCGCAAGCAGTTTAGGGGTACTAAAACGACCCTCAGCCAGGCATGGTCCGGGAATTGTATCCGTGGACCGCAATGTGCGTTCGAAATGTCGATGTTCATGTGTCCTGCAGTTCACAAGTTGACGCGCAATTAGCTGCGTTCTTCATCGACCCACGAGCCAAGTGATCCACCGTTCAGGGTAATCGTTCGAAATTTTTGCGTTCGCGAAGAAACGCGCTTCTCGTTCAACCATCGTGGTCTCTTCTCTCGGACGAGAGAGAGAGAATAATCGTGGTGGCTCTTCGATCAGCCGAGGACGCGCGCGGACCGCCGCCTCCCGCCAGGGAAGGCTACGGCACAAAGATAGAGTTGTGTGTTTCTCGTTCGGAGCGTCTCTCCCGCAACGGGAGAGCCGGGGCGGAAGCTCTTTGAAGAAACCGTCGGACCGACACAGTTGACAGATTGGTCGAAATATCATCGATCCCTTCTCTGTGTTATATATATTTATAATAATATATGGGGGTCCTCTCGCTCGGCACTCGCGGTCGCACACCGTGTGTTCTCGGCACGCTGACCGCTGCCCCGCGACAACGGGGAGGGCGCGCGTCGACGAACGTCGTGGGTGCTGCACACACGCGTGCGCGGGCATAGGTTACCACCGGTTCGCGCTCAACGCCGAATCGACGCTCTGTGTGTGTGTGGCCGGAGAATGGCACACACACGAGCGTGATCGCGAAGCGTCTCGCTCCGAATCGTCGTCGAACACCGCCGGGCGCGCTGCTCTGCTTGCCGACTACTTTCGGTCAGAGAGGCGCGACGGCGTCCGTCGTTATATCAAAACACAACAACAAATTCCGTCAAATCCGTTATTTTCTTTTTCTCTGAGAGCGCCTTTTCAGCGCGTCCATTCAGTCGCCGACTGCTGCGAGCGCGCGTCTCTCCCAAAAGAGAGGACTCTCGACGCAGAGCAGGACCTCCGGAACGTTAATGATCCTTCCGCAGGTTCACCTACGGAAACCTTGTTACGACTTTTACTTCCTCTAAATGATCAAGTTTGGTCATCTTCCCGGCAACATCGGCAATGCCGAGACATTGCCGCGCACCAGTCCGAAGACCTCACTAAATCATTCAATCGGTAGTAGCGACGGGCGGTGTGTACAAAGGGCAGGGACGTAATCAACGCGAGCTTATGACTCGCGCTTACTGGGAATTCCTCGTTCATGGGGAACAATTGCAAGCCCCAATCCCTAGCACGAAGGAGGTTCAGCGGGTTACCCGGGCCTTTCGGCCAGGGAACACACGCTGATTCCTTCAGTGTAGCGCGCGTGCGGCCCAGAACATCTAAGGGCATCACAGACCTGTTATTGCTCAATCTCGTGCGGCTAGAAGCCGCCTGTCCCTCTAAGAAGATTTGTTTGTACGTTGGTAGTAAAAACCCGCCAGCCGAAGCCGGGGGCCTTCGCGATACCATAAGGTACGCCTATTTAGCAGGCTAGAGTCTCGTTCGTTATCGGAATTAACCAGACAAATCGCTCCACCAACTAAGAACGGCCATGCACCACCACCCACCGAATCAAGAAAGAGCTATCAATCTGTCAATCCTTCCGGTGTCTGGGCCTGGTGAGGTTTCCCGTGTTGAGTCAAATTAAGCCGCAGGCTCCACTCCTGGTGGTGCCCTTCCGTCAATTCCTTTAAGTTTCAGCTTTGCAACCATACTTCCCCCGGAACCCAAAAGCTTTGGTTTCCCGGAAGCTGCCCGCCGAGTCATCGGAAAACTTCGGCGGATCGCTAGCTGGCATCGTTTATGGTTAGAACTAGGGCGGTATCTGATCGCCTTCGAACCTCTAACTTTCGTTCTTGATTAATGAATGAGGGAGAGAATGAGAGCGTTGCGGAAGTGAGTGAGATAGCGTGTATGAGAGTAATTGGTGCGAGACTCCGTAAATTCCTGTTTACGGAGACGAACAAAATTTCAAAGAGTGCGAGTGAGAAAATACTGGACATTGTGGGAGAATATGAGGAACAGATGATAAAAATGTTGTGCAAAAATGAGAGAATACAGGGGAAACTGGATGAGTGTATGCGTCGAGCGAGTCGGGATTTAGCCTACGGCGGAAGTGGAATGAGCTATGCGAGCGTGAGTGCGAAAAATGTTGAAAAGAGCGTGATTGAAAAGGTACAGGAAGTGAATGTGAAAACGAGTGAAAACGAAAGAGAAGAGTTATGCGGTAATAGTGAGAGCGGATGATGCAAGTGCGAGTGTGACAAGTGAGGAAGTAAAGGAGAGAATGATGAAGCATGTGAGCAAGTCACTGAATGTGCGTGTGAAAGCGGTGAGGAAAGTGAGGAATGGAGGTGTAGCGATTGAGACGATGAGCGAGAGTGAGTTGAAAAGAATAAGAGAGTGTGGTCAGTTTAAGAATGCTGGCCTAAAGGTTGAGCTGCCTCGCAAGATAGGCCCAAAGATCATCTTGTACGATGTGCCGAATGATATGGCGAGTGAAGTGTTAATGAGAGAAATGTATGAGAGGAGCTTGAAAGGGCGAGTGGATGAGAGAGTATTTATGGAACGTGTGCGTGTTGTGAGTAGGAATGCGAAGAAAGATGCAACCTGCGGAAATGTGATATTAGAAGTTACGAGTGCAATAAGAAATGTGCTCTGTAGTGACGGACGAGTGTTTGTGCATTGGAAGGCCTTTAGGGTGAAAGAGTTTTTCAGTGTGCTGAGGTGCCACAAGTGCTTCGCATTTGGGCACATGATGCGGCAATGCACCGAAAAGGTAAAGACTGTGCCAAAAATGTGGATGTGTAGGACACATGATGAGAGATTGTAAAAAGAAAAGTGTGTGTAGAAACTGTAAGCTGAAAGGGAGCAAATGTGATCACTCGGTTCTGTCCGAAGTGTGTCCGGAATACGTGAGAGCGTTAGAGAGAGAGAAAGCGAGAATAAATGACGAATGAATGGTGCGTGAATGTGGTGCAGTATAACTGCCAGAGAGCGTATGCGGTTATGTGTGATCTGGGTGAGATGATGCGCGAACGTCGAGTGAGTGTAGCACTGCTGCAAGAACCGTATGAAAGGCATGGACGTGTGGTGGGCTTGCCCATAGGTATGGATGTGATTGTGTGCGAAAGTGGGACGGTGAAAGCAGCAGTGGTGGTAAATGACTCTAGGTTAGACGTGATGTGCGTGAGAGAGTGTGTTTCGACACAATAATGTAAATAAAATTATATCCATTTTAAGATCACGGTGTATCGTCATGTTCAGTAATATTTGCTTCGAAAATTTAGTAAAGTCACGAACGGTAAATTCGAACGTCAAGCAAATATTGTCTGTAAATGTTATCAAGTTAAATTCTATGGATACTGTTTTCCGCGTTCTTATTTGCGCACCTTTTTGTTGTTTTCGCGCCGACTTCGCGTTCGTATTACAAAGGAATCATGTGTCCTCTACATTTCTGTGTACACTCTCTCTTTATCTGTACATGAGATATTATAAATCTCTCAAACTGTTTGTCAACCCCCTCTTCATACCTGTTTGTCAAAAAATTTACGGCTTGCCGTTTGCGGACAGTGGAGTCGTCTCTCAGCGTTCGTAAAGAATAAATCGATATCCACGACAAGTTCTCCTCTAATTACTTTCCTAATAATCTCAAGATTTCGACGTCGCCAGTGCCGGATCACGCGTATCTCTCAACATTTTTTGGTCCTTCGAGCCGGATTCGCGGATCGCGGGCGTATTTTCGCGCTCTCCTTTAACCGAAATTCTCGAGATTTACGTAACTCTCGGAAAGTGATTCGTCGCGTTTATCGACTCTCTATCTTTCAGAACTACTCGCATCTTTCTATACCGCGCGTGACAATAGTGTTGAATATCTCTCACCGCGATCAAAAGTGACACATCAATCTCGTTCAAGGTGCAACTGTGATTGTGTGCATTGAATCTCGAACTTCTCATCATCTATAATCGGCAGGATGACTCTCGAAGCCCTTCTCGATCGCCAGCATGAACTTTTCGGCCTCATCGCTCGCGCTTGCAAGAACCTACAAAAGCTCGGTCCTTCGAAGACCACCCGTGGTGCGGTGCAAAGTCGTCTAACAATTTTAAAGGCAAATTGGGAAAAATTCCAGGCTCAACACGAAAATCTATACAAGCTGAAATCGTCAGAATTAAAGAAGCTGGACTACATTGTCGATAAAATCTACGAGCAATGCGAAGAGAAATTTGCCGAAGCGCAAGGCACTATGCTCACTATCCTCGACAGTTTTGCACCACCTCAACAGAATACATCAGCCGAAATTTCTATGAACTCATCGTCCGCATCACATTCTCGACGTTTGCCTCGCATCGATTTACCAAAATTCAACGGCGAATATTCACAGTGGAATCATTTCCGAGATCTCTTTGCTTCTATGATCAACGCGAATACCGATCTCTCTGCAGTCGAAAAGCTTCATTATTTAAAGATGAGCCTATCGGATGAACCGGCTACTCTCTTGAAAGGCGTTGAGATATCAAGTGAAGGATTCAATCGCGCATGGGATACTCTTATTGACCGTTACGACAACAAGCGTATCCTGATAGAGGCTCAGCTCTCCGCTCTGTTTTCGATTCGCAAGGCGAAATCCGAATGTGCATCGAAAGTGAAACGCCTTCTCTGCGAATTGAAGGAAGCAATCGGAGCCCTCGCTACATTGGGCTGCCCGGTTCATCACTGGGACATCATTCTCATCTTTATGACAGTGCGCAAACTAGATGTCGAATCTGTTAAGGATTGGGAAAAATCACTCGGAGCCACCTCGCAACCACCATCGTTCGCCGACTTCGAGAAATTTCTTCTCGGTCGTATTCTCACTCTCGAAGCCTTCGAACGAACAACGAATTCTCGGAAACAAAACGCAAGTGCACCTCGATCTCCAGCTCACGCTCGGGCATATACCGCTACTGTGACTGATCAAAAGTGTGCGTTGTGTTCATCGGGACATTACATTGCCTCGTGTCCAAAGTATCTCGAAAAGACACCCATGCAGCGAAAGGAAGTAATAATTTCGAAAAATCTCTGCTTTAATTGTCTCGGGCCTCATCAGATAAAATCATGCCGCTCAACAAAACGCTGTCGTCTCTGCCACAAGCAACATCACTCCACGTTACATTATCAAGCCGGTAACGCAGCGATCGGTGCATCAGCTGCACACTCAGACTCGTCGACGCCTGTCGTCAAGGCAATCACATCGTCTCCGCCGGCAATTCATACTGCAGGTATTCCGCCACACGAATCTGTTGCTCCTCTACGGAATACCGAGCAAATCTCAAACTCCGTGACATCAAGTCACGTCGCTCAATCGCGGATAATCCGTCGCACTCCGGTTCTATTAGCCACAGCTCTCGTAAACGTAGTGTCATCAACCGGAGATATCTATTAAGTGCGCGCTCTTATCGATCAAGGATCGGAAGTCTCGTTTGTCTCGGAATCGGTCGCCCAATTATTAAAACTCTCGCGTCAAGCGGCGGCTATTCCGATTCTCGGCATCGGAGCTCATCGCTCAAGCATATCAAACGGACTCGTCTGTCTCAAAGTGATATCTCAAGTGCATAAAGACAGTTCTCTCGAAGTCGATGCTCTCGTACTGCCGAAATTAACGTCCTATCTGCCTCCCGCGCGTGTCGAATATACTCAGTGGCCGCACATACAAGGTCTTGAGCTCGCGGATCCAAACTTCGCCACGCCCGAAAAAATCGATCTCATACTAAGTGTAACGGTGCACGCTCAAATACTCAAAGACGGTATTCGTCGAGGAAATATCGGCGAACCCATCGCTCAAGAAACGACTCTCGGATGGGTGCTATCAGGGCCCCTCTCAAATGATAATCAGAAGACCAACGCCATGGAAAACAACTCAGTCATCGGTCTTCAGTGCTCTCTCGACTCTGAGCTCCTGGAGCTCCTTCAACGCTTCTGGACACAAGAAGAAATCGCGCCTGCCTCTCAAATCTCAATGTCTCCAGAAGAATCTCAGTGCGAAGAACATTTCAACATGACTCATTCTCGCGACGTCAACGGACGATTTGTTGTACGCTTGCCTCTCAAGACGAGTGTTAGTGAATTTGGTGACTCTCGCTCTATCGCACTCAAGGCGTTGTATCGCATGGAAAAACGATTCGAAACGAATCCATCGCTCAAAATCCAGTATATCGACTTTTTACGTGAGTATCGTTCTCTCGATCACATGCGTCCCGTCGCATCAAACCGCGCCCAATCTCGCGAGTTTTTTCTACCGCATCACGGTGTTACGCGTGAAACTAGCACGACAACAAAACTGCGCGTCGTGTTTAACGGATCGCAAAAAACAAATCTCGGCTTGTCGTTAAATGAGTATCTCCTTGTCGGGCCGAAACTACAAACGGATCTCGCGGACATCCTCATCCGTTGGCGACGGCATCGATACGTGTTCGCGGCCGATATCGAGAAAATGTATCGGCAGATTCGCGTGCACGAGGATGATTGGCCGTTACAGAAAATTCTTTGGCGGGACTCTCTCGACGAAAGGCCTCAAGAATATGCATTGTGTACCGTAACGTACGGCCTCGCGTGTGCTCCATATCTCGCGCTACGCTGTTTACGGCAACTCGCTCTCGATTACGATTCGATTCGCCCTCACGCTTCCGAAACTCTTCGTCGCGACACATACGTCGATGATATTCTCTTCGGCGACGAAAGCATCTCTCAGGCAAGAGAAAAAATCTCGCAACTAAGAACCACTCTCACGGCGGGCGGCTTTACGCTCCGAAAATGGATCGCTAACGACTCAAATCTGCTCGACGATATCCCTGCCTGCGATCGCGAAACATCTCCTACGCTCTAGGTCAACGACAGTGCGATACATCATACCCTCGGTGTGCGTTTGTTGCTCCCTTCGCGCGCGCTCTTACTCTCATCCCATTTCTCCTCGGCTCTCGCGTACACACACGACTTGGATACACAAACACGCTCCCCCTCTTAATTCGCGCAGCATTCTCTGGGCGCGCGTTCGCCAACGTTTTACACGCTTGTGCGCTTCTCCACTCTTATTATTATTATTTCGTGTGTCATTTCAGACGACGCCAGGATTTGCACCGCGGCCGGTCGGCGCGGCACAGACACCTCGGGCGAACGTCCAACGATCGCTCGTACGCCCATTGTAAGCGTTGCACAGGGCACAGGCGACGCGCGCGCCATTCTCTGGTCGCCCGCGTCGTGGCCGTGCGCGCTTTTCGGGCGCAAGCAGTTTAGGGGTACTAAAACGACCCTCAGCCAGGCGTGGTCCGGGAATTGTATCCGTGGACCGCAATGTGCGTTCGAAATGTCGATGTTCATGTGTCCTGCAGTTCACAAGTTGACGCGCAATTAGCTGCGTTCTTCATCGACCCACGAGCCAAGTGATCCACCGTTCAGGGTAATCGTTCGAAATTTTGCGTTCGCGAAGAAACGCGCTTCTCGTTCAACCATCGTGGTCTCTTCTCTCGGACGAGAGAGAGAGAATAATCGTGGTGGCTCTTCGATCAGTCCGAGGACGCGCGCGGACCGCCGCCTCCCGCCAGGGAAGGCTACGGCACAAAGATAGAGTTGTGTGTTTCTCGTTCGGAGCGTCTCTCCCGCAACGGGAGAGCCGGGGCGGAAGCTCTTTGAAGAAACCGTCGGACCGACACAGTTGACAGATTGGTCGAAATATCATCGATCCCTTCTCTGTGTTATATATATATTATAATAATATATGGGGGTCCTCTCGCTCGGCACTCGCGGTCGCACACCGTGTGTTCTCGGCACGCTGACCGCTGCCCCGCGACAACGGGGAGGGCGCGCGTCGACGAACGTCGTGGGTGCTGCACACACGCGTGCGCGGGCATAGGTTACCACCGGTTCGCGCTCAACGCCGAATCGACGCTCTGTGTGTGTGTGGCCGGAGAATGGCACACACACGAGCGTGATCGCGAAGCGTCTCGCTCCGAATCGTCGTCGAACACCGCCGGGCGCGCTGCTCTGCTTGCCGACTACTTTCGGTCAGAGAGGCGCGACGGCGTCCGTCGTTATATCAAAACACAACAACAAATTCCGTCAAATCCGTTATTTTCTTTTTCTCTGAGAGCGCCTTTTCAGCGCGTCCATTCAGTCGCCGACTGCTGCGAGCGCGCGTCTCTCCCAAAAGAGAGGACTCTCGACGCAGAGCAGGACCTCCGGAACGTTAATGATCCTTCCGCAGGTTCACCTACGGAAACCTTGTTACGACTTTTACTTCCTCTAAATGATCAAGTTTGGTCATCTTCCCGGCAACATCGGCAATGCCGAGACATTGCCGCGCACCAGTCCGAAGACCTCACTAAATCATTCAATCGGTAGTAGCGACGGGCGGTGTGTACAAAGGGCAGGGACGTAATCAACGCGAGCTTATGACTCGCGCTTACTGGGAATTCCTCGTTCATGGGGAACAATTGCAAGCCCCAATCCCTAGCACGAAGGAGGTTCAGCGGGTTACCCGGGCCTTTCGGCCAGGGAACACACGCTGATTCCTTCAGTGTAGCGCGCGTGCGGCCCAGAACATCTAAGGGCATCACAGACCTGTTATTGCTCAATCTCGTGCGGCTAGAAGCCGCCTGTCCCTCTAAGAAGATTTGTTTGTACGTTGGTAGTAAAAACCCGCCAGCCGAAGCCGGGGGCCTTCGCGATACCATAAGGTACGCCTATTTAGCAGGCTAGAGTCTCGTTCGTTATCGGAATTAACCAGACAAATCGCTCCACCAACTAAGAACGGCCATGCACCACCACCCACCGAATCAAGAAAGAGCTATCAATCTGTCAATCCTTCCGGTGTCTGGGCCTGGTGAGGTTTCCCGTGTTGAGTCAAATTAAGCCGCAGGCTCCACTCCTGGTGGTGCCCTTCCGTCAATTCCTTTAAGTTTCAGCTTTGCAACCATACTTCCCTCGGAACCCAAAAGCTTTGGTTTCCCGGAAGCTGCCCGCCGAGTCATCGGAGGAACTTCGGCGGATCGCTAGCTGGCATCGTTTATGGTTAGAACTAGGGCGGTATCTGATCGCCTTCGAACCTCTAACTTTCGTTCTTGATTAATGAATGAGGGAGAGAATGAGAGCGTTGCGGAAGTGAGTGAGATAGCGTGTATGAGAGTAATTGGTGCGAGACTCCGTAAATTCCTGTTTACGGAGACGAACAAAATTTCAAAGAGTGCGAGTGAGAAAATACTGGACATTGTGGGAGAATATGAGGAACAGATGATGAAAATGTTGTGCAAAAATGAGAGAATACAGGGGAAACTGGATGAGTGTATGCGTCGAGCGAGTCGGGATTTAGCCTACGGCGGAAGTGGAATGAGCTATGCGAGCGTGAGTGCGAAAAATGTTGAAAAGAGCGTGATTGAAAAGGTACAGGAAGTGAATGTGAAAACGAGTGAAAACGAAAGAGAAGAGTTATGCGGTAATAGTGAGAGCGGATGATGCAAGTGCGAGTGTGACAAGTGAGGAAGTAAAGGAGAGAATGATGAAGCATGTGAGCAAGTCACTGAATGTGCGTGTGAAAGCGGTGAGGAAAGTGAGGAATGGAGGTGTAGCGATTGAGACGATGAGCGAGAGTGAGTTGAAAAGAATAAGAGAGTGTGGTCAGTTTAAGAATGCTGGCCTAAAGGTTGAGCTGCCTCGCAAGATAGGCCCAAAGATCATCTTGTACGATGTGCCGAATGATATGGCGAGTGAAGTGTTAATGAGAGAAATGTATGAGAGGAGCTTGAAAGGGCGAGTGGATGAGAGAGTATTTATGGAACGTGTGCGTGTTGTGAGTAGGAATGCGAAGAAAGATGCAACCTGCGGAAATGTGATATTAGAAGTTACGAGTGCAATAAGAAATGTGCTCTGTAGTGACGGACGAGTGTTTGTGCATTGGAAGGCCTTTAGGGTGAAAGAGTTTTTCAGTGTGCTGAGGTGCCACAAGTGCTTCGCATTTGGGCACATGATGCGGCAATGCACCGAAAAGGAAAGACTGTGCCAAAAATGTGGATGTGTAGGACACATGATGAGAGATTGTAAAAAGGAAAGTGTGTGTAGAAACTGTAAGCTGAAAGGGAGCAAATGTGATCACTCGGTTCTGTCCGAAGTGTGTCCGGAATACGTGAGAGCGTTAGAGAGAGAGAAAGCGAGAATAAATGACGAATGAATGGTGCGTGAATGTGGTGCAGTATAACTGCCAGAGAGCGTATGCGGTTATGTGTGATCTGGGTGAGATGATGCGCGAACGTCGAGTGAGTGTAGCACTGCTGCAAGAACCGTATGAAAGGCATGGACGTGTGGTGGGCTTGCCCATAGGTATGGATGTGATTGTGTGCGAAAGTGGGACGGTGAAAGCAGCAGTGGTGGTAAATGACTCTAGGTTAGACGTGATGTGCGTGAGAGAGTGTACGAATAAGCTTGGAGTGAGTGTGTGGTTGAAGGGGGACTTTGGCGAAATGTATGTGGTGTCCATGTATTGCCAGTATGGTAAGTGTATCGAGCCGTACTTGGCGTACATGGACAGAGTATGTGAGACGGCCGGGAGAAAGCGTCTGCTGATAGGTATGGATGCGAATGCCGTCTCTCCCTTGTGGTATAGCAAGGGTGGAGGCAGCAGAGAGAGTGAAGCGCGTGGTAGAGTGATTGAGGAATGGATGATTGCGAGCGGGATGAATGTTGTTGAATGAGCCAAGCGAGTTTTACTCGTTCAGCGGGCCGAATGGGGAGAGTGACATCGATGTCACTTTCGTGAACGGCGTGAATGGAGGGTGCCGGTATGAGTGGGAAGTAAAGCCGACTGGGGAGTGAGTGACCATAACGTATTGTTAATACGGATGGTACACAGAGAGAATGTAGGTACGAATGAGGGCATGCGTAGATGGGTGTGCAAGGACGTAGACTGGGAAGGATATATGTGTGATATGCGAGAGAGTGCGTTAGAGGATGCAGCGAGCGCCATAGACGAAGCGGATGCGCAGAGCTGTGTAGAGCGAATGATGAAATGGATCCATAGTGCGAATGATCGATGGATGAAGAGGTGTAAACCTGTGTATGCTAGGAAGCTTGTGTGGTGGACGGATGAGCTTGAGAAACTGAAGAAGGCTGTAGGAAGGAGCAGACGTGCCTACCAGCGTGCGAGAAAGAGGAATGGAAGCAGAGTGGAAGAAAGAATGAATGAATATAAGTATGTTTTGCGGGAGTATAAGGAGGAAATGCGAAGAGTGAAAGAGGAGAATTGGAAGCGATTTGTGTGCGTGACTGGGAAGAGGGATCCATGGAGCGATGTATATAAGGTGTGCATGGGAAAGCGTGATAGGGTAAGATTAAGTGGCATAAAAGTGGGTGATAGAGTGACGAGTACATGGAAAGAAAGCGCGGATGAGCTAATGAAGAGATTCTTCCCGGCAGCAAGGACGAACGTGGCGATAGACGCCAGGGGAGACGTGAGGGAGGAAGAAAAGCAGTTTGAATGGAGCGAAGTGGATGTGGCAGTGAGATCGATGAAAGTGGGTAAGGCACCTGGTATGGATGGTGTGAGTGCTGAGATGTTGCGAGCGATTTGGCGTGCTGTCCCGGTATGGATGAAAAGAATGTATGATGTATGTCTGAATACAGCGTGTTTCCCCCCGGCGTGGAAGACTGCGCGGGTGGTAGTGTTATTGAAGTCCCCGATAAACCTAGGTCGGACCCTGGGTCTTATAGGCCCATTTGACTGCTGTCCGTGCTGGGGAAAGTGTTGGAGCGAATGATGGTTGGAAGACTCGAGCGAACGATGTGTGGAAGAATGTGTGACGCCCAGTACGGATTCGTAAGGAATCGGTCGACCGAGGATGC